AAATGTTCGTTTATACAAGAACAATATGCAGTACCTTCACCAGAGGCCTTCATCTTCCATTCATTTGCCAATGATACATGTTGTTTACTCATGGACATCTTTACAAACCTCTTTCTATCTTTAGTAATGCATTGCAATGCTCCACTATCAACAACCCACAAATCATGGTTTACAGTTGAATTGCTAGACATAGCTAAACTAACATTCTTCTTAGCCTTCTGGTGATTACCAGTATTCTGTTGTTTTCCCTTCTTACAGAATCTAGCTATATGTTCCCAGGCCCCACAAGAAATACATTTCCTAACAGTATAGACAGTTGAACACAAAGCCTCTTATTGTGGTTGTTCCTTCCTTAGTTGGTCCCTATCCAGCAGTCTTCTTGCTTCTTTTAATAACTTTCTGGTTATGTCAGTCAATGTTAGTTCATCTTTGGTCAGGACTTCCAGTGAAGATACGTAATCATCATAACTTTCATCCAATGAGGAAAGAATGATGCAAACTTGATTGCAGGAAATACGACTTCAGCAATAGAGTGGTCAATGTCTGGAATACTCTACCTGACTCTGTAGTTTCTTCCCCAAACCCCAAAAATTTTAACCTTAGACTGTCTACTCTTGACCTCACCCCTTTCCTAAGAGGTCTGTAGGGGGCGTGCATAAGCGCATCAACGTGCCTACCGTCCCTGTCCTATTGTTTCTCTTATTCTTTTATTTTTCATATATGTACCCATTTCATGTATTCACAACTATGTATACTCTTATACTTATTATCTTGTAAACAATTGGCAAATCAAATAAATAAATAAAATAAATAAATAAATAAATAAATGATGCAAACTTGATGCAGCTCTGAAAATATCAGTTCCTTTTCATGTAGCTCTTGAAAAGTTCTTTTCAAATGAGCTAACATATCTCCACCTTTCAGAAGACATGCTCTAAACAGTTTACGTGTAAGATGTATGTGTGCACCTACACTGTCACGAACATAAATCCTCTTCAAATTCTCCCAACACCTAGCAGCAGACTCTTCTCCACGAATAGGGACTAGCTGCTGATCACACAGTGTTAGTCCAATTATACAAAGAGCTCGTTCGTTGTTCTGTTTAAAGTCAGCAAGCTTTTTGGCATCGTCCTCATTTTCTGGATCCCAAGCATTTACATCCGGTGGGTCTTGAACTACATTCCATAACCTTTCTCTACCCAGAGATACCATAAGATTTTAGTTTTAGGAGTAGTTTGTTGTGTACCACTGAATCAAAGGCTTTACAAAAGTCTATGTAGATTGAGTCTATTGCTTTGCCTTAATCGAGTTGTGTAGTCCATATGTTTTTGCAGTGTAAGAGTTGCAGATTACATGATAGTTTTTTTTTCTAAAACCAAATTGTTTATTAGAGAGTAGGTTGTTTGTTTCTAAGTGGAGGATGATGGATTGGTTAATAATTGATTCCATGACTTTACAGGTGATGCAGCATAAAGAGATTGGTCTGTAATTTTCAACTAGGCTGGGGTCTCCCTTTTTGAAGATGGGGATGACCGTGGCTTGTGACCATAGTTGGAGGAGCTGGTCCTGAAAGATTTTTCAAAGATTATGCTTAGAGGTTTGGCTATGGCAGTGGATAGCTTTTTTAAGAAGTAGGCACATATTCCATCCGGTCCAATAGATAGAGATGGTTTTAGATTGCGTAGTGCTTTTTCAACATTGCCTACTGTAAAATCAATACATATTAGATCATTGTAGTTGGCTATGGTTCAACTAGGAAATACTGGGCATGATCCATTGCTGTTTACAAATACTGAGCCAAAGAATGTGTTAAAGAGGTTGGCTTTAATGGTGTCGTCATTGCAGTCTTTACCATTAGGTCCTATTAGGGGTGGGATGGACCTTGAGTCTTTTAGTTTGTTGTTTACAAAATTGTAGAAAGCGCGGGTGGAATTGGTGCGTAGAAGGTTTTCCTCTTGTTTAATGTGATAATTGGTGCATTCAGTCTTTATCTGGTGGCATACATTTTTGTATCAGCTTTTGAAGTTGGCAACGTGACCAGATTTGTTTTTCCGCCAAAGTGATCTCTTTTTGGATTGAAGCTTCCTTATTGTTATGGGTAATCTGTTTTTTCTGGTTTTGGGAGTTGTTATTGGTACATATAGTTTGATGACTCTTTTGACTTCAAGTAAAAATATATTGTAATGGTCTTCAACAGTATTGCATCCAGTGAATAGAAATTTATTTTTATTTATTTATTTGATTTATATTGCTGCCTATTCGCCCATGGCGACTCAAGGTGGCTTACACAATGTAAAATCATATTTAAAACAAAAAATAAAAATAAAAACAATAAGAACTAACAAAAAGAATCAAATAAATTAGTAAAGTACAATAAAACAAAATTTGGAGAAAAAACCCTTATTTCTCTTCCTGATATTTTTTTTAAATCGGTTTTTAATGTCTTTTAATTAACCTCCTGCCCGATGAAGCCAGATGTATTTGCCAGGGAGATAGATTCCAGCATTGGCACAAGACTCCAGTCGCCAGGGGCAGCTTCCCAACCTGGGTGTGTCGTCCAACATTCCTTCACTAAGCAGCACCCATTTGCTTAAATTGCAAAAAACGCTGCAAAGGTTTAATTGCTGTGGCCGCTTTGAGGTCTCTTCTGGAATTCTGAGATGGGATGTGAGTTTTTTTTCCCCCTCCTTTGCTGGTACTTTGCTTGTGTGGAGTGACCATTCAAAGTTACAATGGCACTGAAAAAAGTGACTTATGACCCTTTTTCACACTTACGACTGTTGCAGCATCCCCACAGTCATGAGAGGCCAGGCGAGGAGATACGTGCCTCGATGTGAGTGAGGTTGAGTTCGCCACGCCCAGCCAATAACATAACCACCCAGTCACATGACCACCAAGCCACGCCTACCACCTAAGTCATGCCTACCACCTAAGCCACGCCCACAGAACCGGTTGTTAAAAAATTTGAATCCTACCCCTGGATATAGGCAGAGGTGGTAGTCAGCCGGTTTGGACCAGTTCTGGAGAACCGGTAGTGGAAATTTTGAGTAGTTTGGAGAACCGGCCAATCCCACCTCTGACTGGCCCCGCCAACCCCATCTATTCTCTGCCTCCTATCGAGGCCCAGCTGATGGGCTGGGTCTTCTTTGGTTGCCCTGCACAGGAGAATGGAGCTGGAAAGCAGGTTCGTGGGCTGGGGAGGGAATGGGGAATTTGCAGTCACCTTCCCCTGCCATGCCCACCAAGCTACGCCCACCAAGCCACACCCACAGAACCGGTAGTAACCATCTTTTAATCCCATTGCTGGATATAGGGTCTTGCTTGAGTAGTGGGTTGGACTAGAAGACCTCCAAGTCCCTTCCAACTCTGTTATTATCTTAATTCTGTGATGGAGAACCTATGGCATGCAAGCTGCAGGGGAACTTACCTCACTGCGCCTGCGCGTGCTTCACAGTTGATTTTCAGCTGGTTTGAGGCCTTTTTCGGCCTCCCGAGGCTTGAGGAAGGTTTCTGCAGGCTTCTGCAGGCTTTGCAGGCTGAAAACTAGCCCCGTTTCATGACTTCCTGTTTTTCCAACAATACCGGAAGTGACAAAACGGGGCTAGTTTTCAGCCTGCAAAGCCTGCAGAAGCCTTCCTCAAGCCTTTGGGAGGCTGGAAAAGGCCTCAAACCAGCCGAAAATCAGCCGTGAGGCGCAGTGCAGGTAATGGGGTGGCGGGAGGGTGGGTCGGTGGGTGGGGATTGTTTCTGGATGCTGGCATGCCCAAAAAGGTTAGCCACCGCTGTCTTAATTAATCGGTGGAACAGCTTATCTTCAGAAGTTGAGGGTGCTCCGTCACTAAAGGTTTTTAAAGAAGAGATTGGACAATCATTTGTTTGAGATGGTATATAGGGCAGGGGCGTCTGGCCCGCAGGGCTGTCCTGGAAAATGTAAGGGGCCAGCCCACATCGCTTTGGCCCAGTATACTCAGTGCGAACAGGAAACAGGGTTGCCAGATCGCAGTTTGGCTCTGCGGCCAAACTCAAGTCAACATACGGCCAAATTCGGCCAAATTATTTTTTGCTCATGGTGACGCGCATGCGCGAGGGAAGGAGAGCGCCAGAGGACGCGCTTGTCCTCCTTTTGCTCATGGTGACGCGCATGCGCGAGGGAAGGAGAGCTCGGGATGGGTGGGGAAGCCGAGGGGCGTGGCGTTGGAACGAGCTGTAATAGGAATGGGTGTGGTGTTGATGGAGGAGGAGCCGCCCCTGCTCGGGTCACAGGCGGGAAGGGGGCGTGGCCGGGCGCCAAGGTCCCGAAGGGGTGTGTGACGGGAGTTGAGAGGAAGCGGGCGTGTTGGAGAACTGAGAGGACGCGCTTGTCCTCCTTTTGCTCATGGTGACACGCATGCGCGAGGGAAGGAGAGCGGCTGGGTTGCCATCTGGCCAATTTCACGGCCAAGCAACTTTCGTACGGCCAAATAAAATTGAGTTTGACACCTGTGCATTACATGAACATGACAAAATACATAAATAAATAAATACAAAATGATGCATGTCCAGTGGGGGAAAGCAAATATTTCACTTAGCAACCTAAGTTTTGGGCTCTGTTGTCGTCGCAACTCAAGGACTCACCTGTACTAATTTGAACGGCCTGAATCTCCTGATTTCCCCCGGCATTTGATAAGGGATTCACTTAACAACGGTGGCAGGAAAGGTTGCAAAACGGGGCAAAACGCACTCGCCCACTTGCTTCGCTTAGCAAGGGAAATTTTGGGCTCCGTTGTAACAGATAACAGATAATCAGAATTGGAAGGGACCTTGTAGGTCATCTAATCCAACCCCCTGTTGTGGTCGTAAATTGAGAACTAACCTGCATAAACCTTTTAAATACATAAATAATATCTATTCCCTAAATCATACATAAATAAAGATGATACCTCAGGATATCTAAACCCAGTCCAGTGTTCTAGCGTTGCGCACGCGTTCATTCACACAACCCACACCCGGTTTAAGCTTACCCAAGATTTTCGGAATCAAACACCCGGTTCAGGTCACAGTCTATATATCGGCAGCATTTTTCCACAGCTCGTGGGTTAGCCAGGAAAGGCCGTACCTCCAACCCCAGCCTTTCGATTTCCACTCCATTTTCCTGCCAAGATTTGACCAGAAACACCCCCGAGAGCTCATTGCCGTGTGTGCCGCCAAAGATGGCAATTTTTCGGACGGGGGCATCTTGCAGAATTTGGCCAGGATTCATTCTGCTGGTCGGCTGCCACCCAACTCAGAAAATGATTCCGAGGAAATAAAAAGTTTGAATAGCTAGAGGACTTTGGCCTGCTGGATGGGCCGGGGAAGTGAAAAACTAAACCTCTTTTCTAAACTCTTCTCAGTTTAGAGTTTTGATGCCACTCCCCTCTTGCTATATTTGGAGAGTTACGTCTTGAAACAAACTTGGAGAGAAGCAACAGGAGGTGTGTTTTGTGTTTTTTTCCCTTTAGACTCAAAACAAAAACCTACCCGATTTTATTTTCAAATTCACCGGTGCAAATAATTTTATTTTCAAATTCACCAGTACATATAATTTTATTTTCAAATTCACCAATGGTGCAAATAATTTTATTTTCAAATTCACCAATGGTGCAAATAATTTTATTTTCAAATTCACCAATGGTGCAAAATAATTTTATTTTCAAATTCACCGGTGGTGCAAAATAATTTTATTTTCAAATTCACCGGTGGTGCAAATAATATCAGGGAGATTGATAAGGCTGCGGGGTTTTAAAAGAAATAGAAGCAGTCCTACACTTACGACCAGAATTTTCATGGCAAAAGGAGGTTGTTAAGTGAATCACGTTCAATTTAATGACCCTTTTTTTGGCATGGTTGGTAAGCAACTCGGCACAGTTTTTTCAACAATTTCACGATCACGGGATCAAAAATTGGGTGCTAGGTAACAGGCATGTATTTATAATGTTTGTGGCATCTCAGGACCACATGATGGTCACAGGTGGCCTTCCCAGCCAGCTTCTGACAAACAAAGGCAATGAAGCAACTTGGATTCACTTAATGACCACGGGGTTCGTTTAACGCTGCAGTAATTTACTTAATGGCAAAAAAGGTCATAAAATGAGGCATGACTTAACAACTGCCTTGCTTAACAACAGAAATCCTGCTCCCAATTGTGGTCATAACTTGGGGACAATCTTTATCAACTTTATCCATCTGTCTGATTTATTTATCATCTATAATCTATCTATCTATCTATCTATCTATCTATCTATCTATCTATCTATCTATCTCTTGTCTAATCTCTTGTCTAATCTCTTGTCTAATATATATATATATGTATGTATGTATGTATGTGTATGTATGTGTATATATGTGTGTGTGTGTGTGTGTGTGTGAGAGAGAGAGAGAGAGAGAGGCGGGGGGGATATATATACAAATACATATGTATGGCATTCAGCTTTGTTCGGGTATTTTCCCACGTCATTGTAGTTGTGCTTTTAAAGTTGTAGCAA